TTTGGATGTGGCTTACCCTCTTTGGATGTGTAATGGATTTAGCCTTTCCTATAAATAGGAAGTGAGTGGCTCCCATTTTATGTAATAACTCATTTGTGTAAAAGTTTAGAGTGAGAAGCCATTACAAGACCCACTTTGTAATCTCTTTCTATTCTAATCGAGCTTAAACTGTCTTTGTTTACATTGCACGTTCTTCCATTATGTTTTATTCACATTGATCATTACTTTTGCATTTGTCATCATAATTGGGTCACTACAATTGGTATCAAAGTGGGTGCTTGAAGTTTTAAAGAAATTGATCCATGATAACATTTTTGATTGGGTGAATCATTAATCAAACTTCATGTTGTAAGTTTTCTTTCATTTGAGAGTGTTTTTGGTTATAGAAATTGAGTTAATTCTTTGATCTTGATTCACAATAGATTTTCCCTCTCTAGAATTCATGTCATTTTCGCTTTCTATCTTTAGAATTCATGTCGAAATCACTTTCTCTCTCTAGAATTTTGATCAATTTTTGCTTTCATTCGTATTTTGCTTTTGTCTCTCTAGAAGTATCTTTCAAATTTACTTTCTCTCTCTTTGGAAATATCCAAGTTCTAATATTTTTGATAATTGATCAAAGATGATGTGTTTATACTATGATTCTTGGATTGTGATGATTGAAGTTGTCAAGTACAAAGTCAATGAAGAACAATATTATGGATTATTGTTGAAATGTGGATTGATTACATGGAATACTTTGATTTCTTATGAGAAAAAGAAAGATGATTCTAGAAAATTGATTTTTCAACCTCTTTGTAAGATCGAAAATATGATTGATAAAACAATGAATATGTTAGTTTGTGATGGAAATAAAAAGGAAGGAAGAGAATTGTTTAGAAAGCAATATGTTTCGCTAATTGAAGATCCAAGTGATCTTCATGCTCTTGAATTTATTGAAAATGTTCTTGAAAAAGTTCATCATGTTCATGATGTTTATGATGTTCAACACAAGGGAATTCAATGTGATCCTCATGAAATTGTGAAAGTCTTCTGTTCAATTAGAGTTCAAACCGATGATGTTTTTATTTTTGTGATTCGTTTGACGGAATTGTGTCATATAGAAAGCCTTTAATCCAAGATGTTTAAATGTACCAAACTCCAAAAGATTTGATTCAAAATTGCAAAGTAGAAGTTTTCAAGAAAGATGATGTTGTTGATTTCAAATCTTCAAGATCCAATAAGAAGAAGAAGAAGAAGAAGAAGAAGATCAAAAACAAGAAAATTTTGGTTGCTAAGAAAATTTCTTTAAATGTTGGTTTGAAGCCTAAATCTATGAAGACAATTTGGGTTCCACAGCAAAAATCATCAAATTCTATTATGGAATTGAATTCCAAACCCAAAATTGTTGAAGATTCTCAAATTCAACACGATGAGGAAGTTAGATCTTGGAAAAATGAGAAAAAGTTTTATCGATGGTACAATGTGAATCATGGGTGGTACAATTTGCAAATTGGATATTTCCTAATTCCAACCAAGGACCTAGATCATCCATGTTCGATTCATATATTACAAATGGAAAAACGATTTTCAACGAGGTTTCACAAATTCTCAAATGGATTCCGAAAAATTCTTATTGAATTTGATACCTCATTTTTTTAAGATTCGAAGATGAACGATCCAAGTTTGCTCAAAATTTGAAACCAATCTCATTTTCTTTCAATTTTCGAGCCCCTCTTTGAATTATTACTGTTCATTGATCAATTAACTTGAACCCTAAAGTTAGTTTGGATATTGTACATGATTTAAGCCCAAATAGAACTTGATTTCTTCTCCAATCATTTCTATCGCTTCATTTGGGGTTGGACGAGGGTCGAATTGTTGGGATTGGAGTATGATCAAATGAAGAAGTGGATTTCAATTCTTAGTTCTGGATTTTAGATTTTGATAATTGATTCTGGATTTTTAGTTCGGTTATTGCTTTGATATCAAATGAAGAGAACACATATGAAAAATGTATCGATGCTATGTTCTTCGTTCCTATACTTCTAGAGAAATTAATTTGATGAGTTTCTCAATCAGATACTATTGAATCTCTCTTTTGGTTAGGAATAAAAATTTATTATGAATCGAAACTCGTTGCTGAGAATCGAAAATCAAGTTTACAGATCAAAAAAATTATTTGGTATTGAAGATGAAAGCTTGTGAATCGAATGTTGAGTAAAGCGAAGTCTTAGGTATCGAAAATGGGCTTTAGGTATTGAAATCTACTTGATAAGTCGAACTTGGATTCTTGATAGGCGTTAGAAGTCTTATAAGGAGTGAAATACAGTTCAAGGATTAAAAGTTGTGATTTCAACTGTGGAATCGAAAGTTTGGTTGTGAGGAATGAAAGTCAAAGTTTTGTGTTCCATAGTTGAACGTTGAAATTTTTACCATGATATGTTTGAAATCGAGCTTTACAATCAAAAGAGATTCACTTGATAGTCAAACGTTCAATAATCAAATGCTTAAAGATGAATTCGATTGTGATGCAAAACTGAGTCTGAATCGAACGTATTTTGAAGTTTAATTGTCGAAAGTCAATGCTTGGAATCAAAAGTTGAGATTAATGGAATCATACATGCTTTTGATTCGATTTCGATTAGCTGTTTGATCGTAAGTTGAAACCTGTTTCGAATCGAGAGAACTGGATTCTCAATTTTGTGGAGAATGTTAGATCGACTAGTATTGAAATTGTTGGAGTCGAACGCTCAATGAAGCTTGTGATTCGAAAATACAAATGACATGGAATCAAAAGTCTATTCGTGGATCGAAATATTGAAATCAAGTGCTTGGTTCGAAACTATTTTTAGGTCACTAGTCGAAAGCCACATTGTTGAGAGTCGAAATCAAATAGCTAAGGCATCAATGTAACACCGATAAAATTCAAGCCAATTTAAAACCTTTTGAAATAGTTAAAACCACTAAGTTATTATAGTTTGTTTTCAAAATAGCTTAAGCAACAGAGTATTCCCAGAATCAAATCGTGAAATCACGAAATATGAGGAGCAGTATGATCACGCCTTTTCCTTCCTGCGATCAGCAGAAGTACCTGAAACAATAATCGATAAATGTAAGCCCGAAGGCTTAGTGAGTTACCCCCATTGCCATACATATATAACTATATCATGTAAAAAACAAGCAAACATCATGTATAATGACCGTTCAGCCCGATTAGACTGCCTCGCAGGCCTTCAGTCTATCGGGACCGCTCCCCGAGTCTTCAGCACGTCTGGACTGCCTCACTAGGCCTACAGCCTATCCGGACCGCTCCTCATATCATATAACGAAACAACATCCATAGTGAGCCTTCAGCCTAACTGGACCGCCCTCACCGGGGGCCTACAACCTATCTGAACCACTCCCGAGCCTTCGACATGTCTGGACCGCCTCGCAGGGCCTATAGCCTGTCCGGACCGCTCGCTGGGCCTTCAGTCTGACTGGCGTACCCTCTTGGGGTATGTAGTCTATCCGGACCACCCTGTGTATGTTGGCCTACAACACACAGCATGACCGCCTCAAGCCAACCCCCAATCAAACAAGATGTGCACATAAGTATCATACACTATCATTCATAACAGTCACACCGCTCTAACAGATCAAATAGCATAACAACATCCTATAACCAGGAAACAGACCTAACTGGTCACTCACATAGCATTATCCTATATATTAGGATACCGACCTAACTAGGTCACTAAGCATATCACCATCCAAATTACCAGGATGTCAAACAATAAGCATATCATAGAATAAACTTGGAAACGAATCCGAAAGGGACTGGCTTGAGAACCGTAGACCTTGTTGATATAGTGAGGATAACTCACCTGGCACTGCTGAAGTCCAGCGGATGAAACTCCAGCTGCTGGTTGACAGATTCCCGAACTGCCAACATCAAACAATACCCCAATTAATAATTGGGTTCTAAGCCTAAGGTCCAACTCACACACCAAAGCCAAAAAGTCAAATAATGGGCCAAAACCCAACATATGGCTCAACTTTTCAAATTGGGCCTAGACCTCTACGTGGTCTTTCCTTAAGGCCCATCCAATTATCCTAGTCCAACTCTTTATATTCCCATGGCCCAATATCACGTAATCATAAAGGGCCAATTATGGCCCATATATGACCTAATTTTCTGAATTGGGCCCAATTCTCTCACATGGGCTTTATCCTAAAACCCATACAAATATTTTAGTCCATTTACTTTTTCTTGGAAAGCCCATCAATAGATCAATCATCAATGTCCAACATAAAGGACCAATTCAAGGCCCAAGTGAAATTAGGGTTTTCACATGAAATGACAATTAGGGTTAAGTGTTCCTACTTAACCCATTAAGGACTTAATCCATTAAGTCCAATACTATCTTAGGTTAATTTTAAATGATGAATAATTAATATTTTAAGTTTAGTAATTAGTTCAAGTGCGGGTCCCGATAATTCCCAAAATTAGGGTTTCATGGCATTAGGGTTTTCCAACCCCTAATTAGGGTTTCCAACCCAGTTACTTGCCCATTAATAAAATGGTTGGTCTTTTAGGTCCATTAGGGCTTCATTGGGCCCATTAGGGTACTTCAGGCCCTTTAAGGTCTCATTGGGCCCCCTAAGGTTTCTTTTGGCCCATTTTTTCCGAACATCCCGAACGAGTCAAAACACTAACAAGGCACATCGCCACCCGTCATGGCGGCCAATGTCGGCAGGAAGTGGCAGCCACCACCCTATCGTGGTGGTTTGAGTTTTTATTTTCATTATTCCACTTGTAGTTACAATTACAATGCTAAACCCAAAATAACACACACACACACACACTAATACAACACACACACAACCACCCTATTGCTGGCTAGTGGTGGCAAGGGTGGCAGCCACCATGGTTGGTGGCCATGGTGGTTCTTGTTCTTGGTTTCTGGCCCAAAACACACACACATACGCATATCACGTTCAACAGCAATGCACACATCTATTTTTTGCTTGGAAAAATGCACACAATCACCCACCTTACGGTGGTGCACAACGACGGTGAGATAACAACCACCATGGCGGGTCGCCATGGTGGTCCCCGTGATGTTTCCGGACAGAAGAAAGCTACCCCATTATGGTCAGCAACCCAAAACACACGTAACTTGCGACATATGGGTTGAACATGCCCACAATAGCCACCCTTGGGGTGGCGGATGTTGACTGGAGTAGAAGAAAGATCGCACAGGCGGCGGCGGTCAAGCTGGGACATTGCACCGACGAAAACACGATGAAACAGAAGGGGAAACGGGATGGTTCTTCAGTTCGACAACAACCGTAACGTCCCCTAGACAGTCTTCGTCTTCAATGGTCATAGGAACAACGACGGATAGGTTTCGACAATCACAGCATCGAGAGAAATGGTGACTGCTCATGGCGGTATTGGCAGACTAATCCGATGACAAAAGGCGGTAGAATAGTCTTCAAAAATGGAATGACAATGATGAACATCCTCGTCGGCAGCAAGGTTTGCAGTGGTCGCTTGTAAGTCCCTAAAAATGTTTGTGTATCAATTAGATCTGTTTGATGGTGCGGAATCCCAATCAAACGGATGATGTCGGATCAAATAGAAGAGAAGGAGAAGAAGATGATGATGAATCTTGTATGTATTGATACGAATGAAGATCCGGATACAAAGACTCACACACACTAACACACACTTGTTCTCTCTCTCTCTCTCTCTCTCTCTTTAGAACACTTTAGAATACACACACTTAAGCTCCTTGGGTGTTCATCACTCTTTTCCTCACACCCCTCACCCCTATATATATACACACGGGAAATAATCGCTTCTCTCTTCGCGGCTCACGGCTTCGCGTTTCGATCAATTTTCTATCATCCAATCTAACTGGGTTTTCTTTCTTATCGTTAATAATCAATCAGAGCTATTTTATCTTCGTTTTCGCAAGCGTTGTTTATGTTTCATTCAAGGGTTGTTACCACTTCAGTCTCTCACATGGCTTCTTCGTCGATCATGATCAGGGTTAAGTTCGTTAAAACTCTTAGGTGCTTCAGTGCATCCATCAATGACAATAATCTTGCTCTTGACACTGTTGCTTTGAGGGAAAAGATACGTAGTCTCTTCAACTTCAATCCCGATGTTGACTTTACTTTCACATACGTTGATGAAGATGGATATGCAGTCACTCTTGCTGATGATTGTCACACCCCGCTAAAGCGGAAACACAAGGTATGACAGCGATAACGGTTTCATTGCAAAAGATAAAGATACATCACCATAGCAGTATTTAAAAGTTTACAACCCATAGCTTCAAAAGAACAAAATACAAGTTTTTCAAAATAACATTGTTCAAAATATAGCTTCATAATAGCTTCAACACGATGCAGCATGCTCTATGATGATGAATCTTTACATCCACTTACTAATTATTTCCTGAAAAAGCATGTAAAACGAGCGTCAACTATGAAAATAGTTGGTGAGTATCACAAGTTTATAAAATCGAGCGTACAATAAGGCTTTTCGTAAATACAAGTACATTGCTTCAATGATAAACAAGTTGATTGCTATTAATGAATACAAGTTTATTGCTATAACGAGAAACGCGTTTGTATGTGTATGAGCAAACAATGAGTCTCAACCAAACCTATGACTGAAGCCCTATCGAGATCTATGCTTATCGTTCCATAGATGAATATGGTATCATGCACTCCAGCGATTCGGGCGAGTGAGGAGTTGTCAATTCCTAATAGCGCTATCCATAACGACCATTGGCTCAAAGAGTTAATGGTTAGAGATAAGGGAAGGGCCTTTGTACGATAAGTTCTCATGTTCCGTGTTGCATAGACATACATAAAGAAACATAGCAATACAATAGCAATCATGTTTGATACAATTCAATTTAAGTACAACATGCAAACAATAGTTTTTCTGGACATGCTTTTCCACCCCAAAACATAAAAACGAAAATAGGGGAGTGCGTGAATACTCACGATGTTTTGTGTAGACACAAGCGGTACTTCGGGATGCACCAACGTCTTACTACCGGGATCCTACGCACCAAACACACGCACTAGTGAGTTTCCATGTCGATATCTAATGCTAATATACTAAACTCTACATATAGGGAAATGCCAATTTATGTTTTAGTATTGGATTTATATCATTTTGTTACACTTTTTCTGATGTATTGAAATTTTACAAGTCGTGCGATTAATTACAACCTTGGAAGGTTAATTTTCCAAATTTTAAGTCTCAATAACAACATAAATTCACGAAAAATAGCATTCGAGGGATAAAAATTCTCAAACTTTTTATTTAACTGTTATACACAATACTAAGCTGGGAAAATTATAAAAATGGATTTCCAAGCTGTTTAATTATATTTTATAATTTTTGAGCATTTATTTCAATAAAAATTGAAATAAATAGTAAACAGTTTCCAAAATTACCCAAACTTTTTATTTAATTGTTATTATACATAAATAGGCTGGGAAAAATATAAAATATATTTTTCAGTGGTTATTTGTATTTTTCCTTGTTTTATTCCTTTAAATAGTCATTAATTAAAGAAATATTATTAAACAGTTAAAATAAATTACCATAAATTTTTGTAACATCATTTACAGTATAAATATCTTGGGAAAAATATCAAAAGTGGTTTTCATAATGTATAAACTGGTTTTGGGTATTTATGTATATTTAAGTGAATTTTAGTGCAATTAACTTTAGAAAATAAGGGAAAAATAGTTTACAGTGGAGAAAATATTCAAAATTTTATGTAACCTCCTACTATATAATATGATATCCTGGCAAATTTTCATGAATTTTGGATAATCAGAACTATTTTTCCCATTTTAAGCCATTATAATTACCAAAAATTGGGAAAAATAGCTAGACATGATGGAAAATCTTGAAATTATTTTCTTGAGTCACCCATCACAAGTAAGGTATGCGAAAATTGTTAGATACAATTTTCACATCCTAAAAAGTGGTTTTGTAATTTATCATGTCCTAAATAAAAGAAAATTAGAATCATATGAAACAGTAACAAAAATTGCTGAAATTTGGTGAGGGGTCATTATTCCCCATAAGTATCATCCATGAATTTATTTAGGATTTATTGACCTCTGGAAGTATTTTATATGATTTATGCCCTTGGTTTTAGCAATAATTCTAATAAATCAAATAAATAACAAAAGCTCTTGAAATTTTCCAGATTATCTCATGCATGCAAGGGCTTTCAAAAGTAAAAATGTTAAGAATGTATTCAGAAGAGAAATGAGGGTAATGATTCCAAACAATTTAAGAAAAGTTGCATGCAATAATGCATGAAGTGTAGATGTGGCTGAGGTTCATGAATTTTGTAGCCCATTCAGTGAGGTTTTAAGCCACGAAATTTCAACCATAACTCACTAGATATGTTAAGTTTCTAAGGTATTTTTCCTAAGATTTATGGTTGGGTTTAAGACCATTGTTTAAGCAAGATAAAAATAGTGATCACAGAAAAAGAGCTGTATGCGCAACCTTTTTGTAAAATCTGCCAAAAATCGGATATTTAATATTTTACAGTAAGACCAGTTGGGTTTGAAAGTTAACTCGTGGAACTAACCAATACAAAAAGAATATCATGATTTGGTTAAGAAATGACTGAGTTATGACTGTTCAAAGTCGAACAAAGTAATCTGGCAGATTGCATGTTTGCTTGTGTGCATTATTAGGGTATTTCAACAAGAACATCATGCATGTCTTTGGTAAGATCCGATTTCTAACACATGCATGGAATGAATGAGGATCCAATATGTACTAGAAATGGTTTAAATGCTTTTGGTCATGCATGAACATAAAAGAGATGGAGAAGAACATGAAATATTAGATTTTGATGTCACATGATCATATGTGCATCTTTTTCACTCCTTGCATGGGTTTGATCCCGGATTTTCACCATTTCAAACACATGCATTGTGTTATGGTGAGAATCTACAAACCACAAGGGAAGAATAAAGATTTCTAGCCATGGAAAGGCATAGAATCCGAAAAGAAGAGAAAACTAAGAAGGAAAGAAGTAGAATCATGAAACTATGGAAGAAGATGATGTTGTTTACCTTGGTTATGATCTTGAGAGAAGTAAGAACACTTCAAGGTCTTCAAAGTCTCGAAATTTGGCAGAGAAATGAGAGAAATTTCGTGAGTTTAGAGAGAGAAGAAGAGAGTGAAGTGTGTGAAGGGTGGAGTGTAAGAGAGTGAAGAGAGAAGAGGTGGAGTGAGGGTTTTGACTTAATGATTGAGTTTTGGGAAGAGAGAGTGCATGGGGAGAGGAGATGGCCAGATTTTTGAGTGGGTTAGGCCTACTCTCTCCTAATTTTAAACTTTATAAACATTCCCTCCTATATTTTTATAAAAACCCAAATTTTATAAAAGTGCTTATTAAGTAATTTTGGATTTATTTAAAATCTTGTTTTCAACAATTAAATTATGATTAATACTTGGTAATTTAGTTTCTATTTCATTGACTATAATTCTAATTTGATTAATAACAATTTGATATTAGGAAGTTTATAGCCAAATTTTATAAAGTTTTTAAGCTTTAAGATTTATAAATTTGGATTTTTGGCTCTTTAGGGTTTTTGGAATATTGTTTGATATTCAACAACATGTTGAAGTATAATTAGAATGTTTTAATTTATTTTTAGAGTTTTATACCCTATTTCAATTATAACAAAGCTTGAAGCTTTATTCTAATTATAGTATTGGCATTTCCTATTGTAGCTAAGCAACTTACTAGAATTGTAAGTATCAAGTATATTAGTCCTAGACCTTAGTTGGATCCTAGTTTATGCAAGATTTTTGACCTAATTTATACTACTAGGTCATGACATGTTGTGCATGAATGGTTATTATAAAGATGCATGAGTCCAAGAATGACCTGAATTGGCAGTTGTCACAGTATCCCCCACTTAAAAAGAATTTCGTCCCGAAATTCATTCTATATCATCGCTTGTCATCGCATGGGAATAGTTGCGGATACTTTTCCTTTATGTAATCCTCGCGCTCCCAGGTGTACTCCGTCCCGCGTTTTGAGTTCCATCGAACTTTCACAATCGGGATCTTACTCCGCTTAAGTTGTTTTACCTCCCTGTCAAGGATTTCTATCGGTTCCTCAACGAAGCTCAGCTTATCATTGATCTTAATTTCCTCCAGGGGTACTATTAATGTTTCGTCGGCTAGACTTTCTTAAGGTTGGAGACGTGGAATGTGTCGTGAATGGCGCTTAACTCTTGGGGCAATTGGAGTTTATACGCTACCGGACCAATCCTTTCAAGGATTTCAAAGGGTCCAACATATCTCGGGCTTAGTTTTCCTTTCTTACCAAAACCACAAGCCCTTTCCAAGGCGACACTTTTAAAAGTACCTTGTCTCCTACTTGGAATTCTAATGGTTTTCGACGATTATCCGCATAACTTTTCTGACGATCTCTAGCAGCTTTAAGCTTATCTTTGATGATAGTAATCTTGTCAGATGTTTCCTGGATAAGTTCGACTCTAGTCAACTGTCTGTCACCGATTTCTGTCCAGCATAAGGGCGAACGACACTTGCGTCCATACAATGCTTCATATGGAGCAATTGGATACTCGTGTGGTAACTGTTATTGTAGGAAAACTCAATTAGGGGCAAATGAGTATCCCAATTTCCTTTGAACTCAATGACACACGCTCGTAGCATGTCTTCAATGTTTGTATTGTTCTCTCTGTTTGCCCATCTGTCTGAGGGTGGTAAGCTGTGCTCAAATCTATCTTGGTTCCTAGTGCCCTCTGTACATCCACCAAAATCGAGATGTAAAACGACTATCTCTATCAGAAATGATAGATAGGGGTACACCATGCAGAGAAACAATTTTGTCGATGTAGATTTGGGCCAATTTTTCCATCTTGAAATCTTCTCGAATAGGGAGAAAGTGAGCGGATTTCGTCAGTCGATCCACTATGACCCAAATTGAGTCGTGACCTCTAGCAGTTCTAGGGAGTTTGGTAACGAAATCCATAGATATTTGCTCCCATTTCCATTGGGGAATTTCAGGTTGTTGCAACAACCCGGAAAGGTTTCTGATGTTCAGCTTTGACTATTGAGCATGTCAAACACTTCCCGACGTACAAGGCAATATCCTTTTTCATTCCAGGCCACCAATAGTACTCTTAAGATCCTTGTACATCTTATCTGCTCCAGGGTGGATGGAGTAT